ATAGTAGTTTGTATTTATATAATATAATGGAACTTATATAACGGGTGACTTTAACCCGGGTGAAAATAGAATTTCCCTAAAATAATATAATATAATCTTACTTCATTTAACATATTTCGTGATATAGTCAAAATTTTAAGCTCCACTTTATATGATGGTATACGTGACTGTGTATATTTTCTATATCCATCAACATAATTTACATTTACATATCTTTTTCCATCTAACCAAGTTGCTAAAAATTTATCACCAATGCTTTGAATAACAGCTAATCTATTAAAAGGAATCCACTCGATTACGTCTTCATAAGATGTGGCTTTAAGTTGAAAATTTTTAATACAATCATCAGTATCCTTATTTCCACTTGTCCATCCTTGTGTTGTTTTCTGAGGATCACATGTTTGACACCAAGCTGGCGATGTGTTATATCGCTTGCAATTTACACATTCTCCGTTCCGTTCATCTCTTTTAGAACAAAATTCATCAAATACTAACGCATATTCATTTGTTTCGTTATTTTGAGTTAGCCCATATACTTTAAGATCACTATTCTTTAACTGCACATAATCTACAAACTTATTAAACATGTAAATATAAATTAAAATAAAGCTATATATATGCGTTGTGTAATATCAATAATTTAAATAATATTAAATATTTTAACTTACTTCTTCTAATATATCTAATAAAATTTGTGATCTAGTTAATATTTTAAGTTCCACTTTATATGATGGCATACGTGACTGTGTATATGCTTTATAATCATAATCATAATTTACAAATTGTTTTCCATCTAACCAAGTCGCTAAAAATTTATCACCAATGTTTTGAATATCAGTTAATCTATTAAAAGGAATCCATTCGATTACGTCTTCTTGCTTCGTAGCTTTAAGTTGAAATTCTTTAATGCAATTATCGATATTTTTATCTCCACTTGTCCATCCTTGTGTTGTCTTCCAAGGGTCACATGTTTGACACCAAGCGAGTGAAGTGTTATAACGATTGCAATTTGCACATTTTCCATGATCTTCATTTCTCTCAGAGCCAAATTCATCAAATACTAGCACATATTCGTTTGTGATTGTGCTTTGAGTTAATCCATAGACACATTTACTCGCTAATTGACTCATTAATTGTACATGATTTTTAAACTTATAAATATACAAAAAGCATAAATTATATATACGTACTATCAAATGGCAAAAATACTGTTCTTGATGGACCATCGGTACTATTCCTTATAAGATAGCCAAAAAAAGTTATTTACGCTCCTGATAGAGTTTCAAAAAATTATGCACTATCAAAGTTTAAAGATTCGATTATAAGATCAATATGTAATATAAAACTAAAAAAATAAAAATAACACGGCCATTAAGTAAAAGTTTTCAACACAAATACCTTCACTATATTATCTCAAGGATTATTTTTAGTAAATTTCAAAATCAATATTATGGATTGATCATGACTTTAGCATTTTCATGAAAAATTGGCATCAGGTCATTTTAAGAACTCTATCAGAACGGTACATAAACCTATCCCATATAGAAACAGTACCAATGATCCATCAGGCATAGCGTTCTTGATATGAAATAAACTCACTTCTTTTAAAATGGTTTGAACATTTCGTGAACTAGTCAATATTTTAAGTGTAATTGTGCATGGTGGCGTACGTGTATGTATGTATTTTTGAAATACAGGTTCAAGTTTTAGATATCGCACACCATCTAGCCAAGTAGCTAAAAATTTATCACCAAAATTGTGAATATTAATTAATCTATTAAAAGGAATCCATTCGATTAGGTCTTCATATGCTGTAGCTTTAAGTTGAAATTCTTTAATACAATCGTCGATGTCCTTATTTCCACTTGTCCATTCTTGTGTTGTCTTCAAAGGGTCACATGTTTGACACCAAGCCAGTGATGTGTTATATCGTTTGCAATTTGCACATTGTCCATTCCGAATATCTCTTTTAGAACTAAATTCATCAAATACTAACACATATTCGTTTGTGGATGAGTTTTGAGTTAATCCATAGACTTTTTTATGTAATTGCACATGTTTTTTAAACTTGGAAATTATAAATTATATAACTTAAGTTTCACACTATCAATTAAATTAACTACACATAATAAAACAATATAATGTAAACTCACTTCTTTTAAAATATTTTGAATATTTTGTGATCTAGTTAATATTTTAAGTTCCACTTTATATGATGGCATACGTGACTGTGTATATCTATTATACTCAACTTTATCTAGATATCGTATTTCATCTAACCAAGTTGCTAAAAATTTATCACCAATGCTTTGAATATCAGCTAATCCATTAAAAGGAATCCATTCAATTACATCTTCGTAGATAGTAGCTTTAAGTTGAAATTCTTTAATACAATCGTCGATGTCCTTATTTCCACTTGTCCATCCTTGTGTTGTCTTCCAAGGGTCACATGTTTGACACCAACCATAAGATGTATTATATCGGTTGCAATTTGCACATATTCCATTCATAAAATATCTTTTAGAGCTAAACGTATCGACCATAATTTCATGATATAATGCGTTACGGAGAAATTAATCACCGTTATGCGTTTATAACACATATATAGCACAGTAACACAATATTTTATTCCTGCATATTAATATATCGATATACTTTACTGTTTACGTAATAAAGTTTATAAACATATTATTTTATGAAAGGAAGCTTATTTATAAATCTAATTACTACGTAGTAGTATGAAGTGTTCAATAGAATCTCGTCGAAATATCTAATAAAATTATAAACGAATTCGAATTAAAAGCTCAAATGTTTATGCGCATTAGAAATACAATATATGAATTAATTCCAAAATAGATGGGTGTTGTTTCTTTAAACATCTATACATTACAGCATTAGGTTATATTTACTCTAGTAAACATGGATCCAACGCTTTCAGCAAAAGTATATTTATTAAATCACATTTCTTAAGTTTTTCTTTTCTTTGACCGATTCGACAATAGGAACACTTTAAAAAAAATAGAAAATAAGTAATCTTAATATAAAAATAAAAAATAAACCTTTTAATTCTAGCGCCGATATAAGGATAATCACGTTAATTTCTTGGCTTTCATAGCTAGTGTAGGAAAAAAATAATTCCAGGTGGCCGAGAATTTTAATGTTGCGAAAACTAAAAAATTTGTATATGTCGTAGGTGGGAATAGAGTTTAAATTTTTAAGATTAGAGTTGGGATTTTTAGTATAATCCCGATCACTATATCAGGATTAATTAATACCCTGACCGTATGAACAGGTAGATAGGGTTGTTAATGGAGTACTCCAGACTATAATAATACATATAACCCGCTTCTGGAGTGCTCCGGAGTGGGTTATATGTTTTATTATTAACCGGAACACTCCATTAACAACCCTACAGGTAGATGATTCTATACAATTACACGTGGTTGTCAACCAATCATATCTCGAGTTTTAGCAAATCGGCGAATCAGATTACACAAAAAAAAAGTTATGGGATTCACGGGGATTCAAAGAATATGTTATAGAGCGAAGTAAAACATTAATTCATCCGTTAAATTTTCTCTCGTTTCATAAAAAATTAAGATGCCCGGGCTTTTAAATGAGTATTGTAAAATGTATAAAAAAAATTATTTATCAATTGTGGGAATCATCTTGTTGACCGTAGGGCAAAATAACAAAATAACCAATTTCTATCGTTATAATCACGTGAAGTACAATTTTTTGCTATCTTAACCGGGTTAGCCGGGTTAACCGGTTAATCGGGTCAGGTGAACCAAAAAACCGAGTTGTTACCCGGTTTTGAGTTTGAAATACGGGTTTATCTGAAAAGAAATTTTATATGGGACTAATCTAAATGTAACTCAAGTTCCCGAAGACCGTTTTCCCGAAAGACAATCCCGACAAAGTTAGACGGCATTAGTTCAACGCCGGCTGATTAGGTTGGCATTATACCTTTTAGGGAAAATGGCTTTCGGAGATAGTACGGTAACAATTCAAAAATTTTGATTCTTGATTTCGAAATAAACGCACATAGGCGTCTCGAAATAACGTATAATGGATAAAATAACGCACAGGGGGCCGACTATAATTGATTGTTAAGATTTGGAATAGATTTACGAATTGACCAATAAAATTAAATTTTAACGAAATCCAAGTTCTATTAATTTACTTTATCGGAAGATTTTCCAACTACTTTGGCCCTGGCGCTATTCCAAAATGGACTAAAATGGACATAGATATTATTAGAAAACAATGTTAACTTTAAATGGCCGAGTATTTACATAGTAGGTTAGAGTTCAAATGTGGTATTACAAAGTACAAGTCCAAAATGGATCAAGAATCAGCATTTAAAAAATGGATGAAACTGTTATTGCACGTGCAAAAACGTTGAAAATCGGACATATTTCAATTTTATTGTTACAAAATACCGATAAGTACATTCAAACAAAAAAAAAAAAACAAAATAAATATCTCGGTATAATTAATAATTATATTGACATTGTTACAAAAATAAAAACACGAAGTGAATACCATACTTCTTATACATAGTATCGATCTTTAAAGTGTTTAGGTTAAATAAATATTTGAAAATTTTGAATTTTAGTATATTAAAGAAATCTTGAATCTTGTTAACATTCATATATAATTTACATTTTATATGATCTCCTATGAATTGATGTACGTACTAATCCGCACCAAAAAATTGTCATCTACAAGGCCATACGATTTCTAAAAGTGACCTACCAATTCTGCTTCTAATTTTAAATATAAAAAATTAGGCGAAAACCCTTTTTATAATAAATACATACATATTTATATTTGTTTTCCTATTTTTAATATTTTTAAGACTGACCTTAGAACCTAAATAATGGCTCAAGGGCATAATTTATCTATAGACACAAGTGCTGCATCCCAAAGTCAAATAATTACCCAACTTGAAGATGATGATAGTGGTCAAATATCTCCAGTTACCGATGAAGATATCGAGCCTGGTCTAGTTTATGCGTTACGTACTTTTACAGAAACAGTAGAAGGTCGAGCAAAAGTTGAAAAAGGCGATTCACTAATTTTATTAGATGATTCGAACAATTATTGGTGGCTAGTTAAAATCTTGAAAAATGGTGAAGTTGGTTATATGCCTGCTGAAGATATTGAGGTAAATTTTGAAAATTTTATTATTATATATTATCAAATCAATAAATGATTTGCTGACAGATTTAAATTATAGATGCCATTTGAAAAATTAGCAAGAATAAACAAGCACAAAAATGTTAACGTAAGTTATTCATGCTTCTATTAAATCATTTGATATTTGCCCTTTTTTTTTTTTTCCTAACAGCTGCTCGATTAAATAGTTGACAATACCGAAAAACAATATTGATAATATATCTATAAAACCAACAAAACTAAAAGAAAAAATCGTTTATTTTACATCTCCTGAGTACTTTGTTTGCGAAGAAGATGAGGATGAAGATGTACAAGGGATTGAAGAACAAGAACAAACACAACAATTGGAAGTAACGGACCAAGAAAATATCACCGAATCTCAATTTATAGTTGAACCTGAAGAATTAAATGTACAACATACAGCAAGTGCTACACCGACGTATGAAAAAGTTGAAATAACACCTATGCACACCTCAATATCAACACAGACTAATGAGAACAATCAACAAAATAATGAAACTGATATCTCAACAAATGTTGCTACCAGTTCACAAATAAGTTCGCCTGATGATGGGTCTGTAAGTTATAAAATAAAAACGAGAAAACAAACTGGACTATTTAATTATGAACAGATAAAGAACTATCCTATAGATTCGCCTAGTTCTACTTCAAAACCTTCTGAGATTTCAAGTTCTACTTCAAAACCTTCTGAGATTTCAAATTCACCTCCTAAAACCAATGATATGTCATTAATGTCAGATTTGGGTAGCGATTTCATAGATTTTTCGGATGATGATGATGATGATGATGAACCTAAAGTCAAGCCTAAATTTTTTGGTGCTAGTTCTGGAAAAAATAGTCCAATTTCCGATGACCATCATAAAAATACAATAGTTGAACCATCTGGTGAGAAAATTCATCATAAAGGAAAGAAAGAAAAAGAAAAAGAAAAAAAGGATGGAATATTTAAGAATTTCTTTAAAAGAAAAAAGAAGAAGGATGATATTCCATTTAATTCCGTTAAACCACTAAATAATTTTTATGAACAACTTCAAAAGGGTTCTTCAAAACAACCATTTCAGCGTTCACTGAGTCTAAAACGTTCACAACAACATACTGGTTCATCATCTATTAATCGATCAACTACTGATTCTACTTATAGTGTTCTTCGTATTTATCCCGGTCAAAATATACAAACCGATTTTAAATATAAAATTGGTTTATTAAGTCCAAAAACAACCACTATAGCTTTTATTAAACAAGCAATTCGTCGATTTAAATTAAATGATGATTATTGGGATAACTATACTATTTCTATAAAAGAAATAAATAGTAAAGAAAGACATTTAATGCCACATGATCACCCTCTTGAAATTTTTAATTCGATATCTTCTTATTATTCAACTCCATTACCATCTGTTAAAAGAACTTCGACAATATCAATTTCATCAACTCTTTCTGATATATCAAATTATGAACCAATCAATAAACTACCAATACGAGATAACCAATGTACTGTTTTTCTATATTTAAATAGAAAATCAAAACAACTTAAAGAAAACACTACGGTTACCCAAAATACTATCCCGTCAACTGAGCTATCAACTAAACAAATGAATACTGTTATCAAAAATACTTTCCCGTCAACTGAGTCATCAGCTAAACAAACGAATACTGTTATCCAAAATATTCCATCGTTTAAGGAAAATAATGATTGGATATTATCCAATGACTTTGGATTAAATGATCTTTTAGTCTATGTTAGATCTGATTTAAACATTCAAAAGAGAAGAAGCGGATGGCATCTCCAGGATCCTGAAGAAATTCTTGATAAAGTTAAACCTACGGAAATTAGAGATGATATTAGATCCATATTTGAAAGCGTGAGTAATGAACTTGATAAATTGGAATTGGTAAATATCTTTGTGTATTTTGTGTATTTTGCTTATTTTGCTTATTTTGCTTATTTTGCTTTATTGATTTATGTTATATTCGATATTTCTAACTTTAATTTATTCAGGAACTTAATCAAATAATGCTTGACGTTATAAGAGTTTTTTGATTATCATTTTAGCATAACAACTATTTCTTATCCGAAAAAAAAACTTTATAAACTTTAAGAACTTTACGATAATTGTATTTAATAATAGTATAGCACGCTAATAATAGCGTTAAAATAAAAATTTATTTTTGAATATGTAGTACTTATTTGATAATGATTTGATAATGATTAGAATTGTGTACAGTACTACTGAATATTCTATTGTTCATGTGATGCATCACTTTAGCGTCACATATTTCTAATTTACAAAAATGTTAAATCATAAGTCTAATAATTATTCAAAAGAATTTATGTTATTTATAAGATTTTTTTTTTTTTTCATATTTACGGTATTCCCTATCTATTCCCTATCTAAAAAATTTCATTGTCTGTGTAAAAATCTAATCAACTATAAACGTAACATTTTTCAATTCTATATTGTCCGCCCTCCACATTCCTGAAAATACCCACCAAAACATATCAAATGGCAATATTGCAAGCATAAGAATTAAAATTGCTCCTAAAACCCATTTAATATTTACTGGTCTTTCTTCAATGTTCAAATTGTTTTGTTTTTTGATATCGTCATTCGTATATTCAACACTTCCTGATGTCTCTGATAGAATAACTGCTGAACTTTCAATGCCTCTTATTCGTATAGTGTGTTCTACGCCTTCCGTCTTCCAATCTTTAACCCTCCAATATAGTGTTTGTCTACTTTTAACATACCTCCAATCTCCATCCGAAACTCGGATATCAAGATTTAATTTTTTATAATGATAGCTCGGGATATATATTTCGGTTTCTGGTGCAACAATAAGAACATCAGTATTTTCAATTCGCTGTGACGCTGGATAATTTGTAAATATAAACGTAAATTCTTTAGTTTTTATATTAAATGCCATGGTATGTGGTATACCACAAATTTTAGCTGCATATGGACGCTGTGTAATGAAAAATATGTAAGAAAATGATTTTAATATTCATATCTTACTTTAGGTGATTAATTTAGCAAATATTTTATTCAATTGATTCAATTGATAAATAATTCATACCAAAACTGCATCCAAGACTCTGCCTCCTGTATGATGTGACTCTTCTTGGTCTCGTTCAAGCTGCCATGGATTTAGGTCAAATGGAGATGTAGGGCTTGTAGGGCTTAATTGGTCCATGGTGTTTTCGCACTCTGCATATATCTCAGCAGTATTAGGCTCCTCAGTTGCGTCCTGAAACACTTGATCTTTTTGATCTTCAAGTGTATCTTGAAATGTTTGGTCCTTTGAACCATTAACCTGAAATGTCTGGATTTTGAGAGTTTTTTTCATTCTAGATTTGAGTTTTGATGATTCATTATTTACAATGGAGATTGTGGCTTCGCTCGTTACAGTGGTTGAAGTTACTGATGCAGATGGAGTTGTCGGTGCACTAGTCTTGTAGGGAGGTGGTGAATATATTGAAAAATCCTCACCATACCAATGATCACCGTGTATGTTATCATTTAATGGATTATAATTCCATAGTCTGTATTTATAATTTTTATTTGAATCAAAACACTTGTAATTATTTTAAAAATAAATTTATTGATCACTTACGTGAAATTAACAAGATTCCTTTCCATTGCACCTAACACTGCATCCAAGAAATTGCTATGATGTGTATAATCACCAGTTTCGAAAGCTTTTTTATCATTAATATCCATTGGTATTCCACATTCCCCGATAACACAAGGCTTGTCTCCTACATTCTCAAGACCATATTTGACAATGTTTCGTACTTGACCTAAATAATTTTTCTTGGCGCCCGAAATTCCAAAATACGTGGCTGATACAATATGTTGAGGACCCTAATTTCTCAAATTGTTAGTTTATAATTCAACTAAATCATCGCTCTTTTAGAATAAGTTTAATAAACAACTTTATAGTTTTTTTTTATAAATCTTAAACATTATATTTATATTTGCAAGTTAACAATGGCGTTATAACAATAAATATTGTTATAACAATATGCTGCAAAGCAGAATCTAATAACCACGAAAATTAACGAAAGTTTATAATTCAATGACTGTAATAATTCGAAAAGAGCGATAAATTTTTGCAGCATAATAAAGGACAGACTTGAAAGACAAACTTACACGAGTAAGACGCTGAACATCATGTGTAATCATGCCGTCAAAAGTTTTTGTAAACAGACTTTTCAAGTCATACCAATGAGGCGCATAAACTATATTGTTATGGTGATCTTCAGGCGTCCATTTTGGTGGTGGCTAATAATGATGACGAAAATGCTTAATAATGGTATTAGCATGAACACTTAATCGTATTTAAATACCTCATTTGGAAGTGGCTCCACAAAAATATAATAATCGTGTTTAACACTTTGAATACCCTCCGAATATTTTTTTACAAATGGCAAATAGAAATCTTTGTAGAATTCTAACTTTTCACCAGTTTTTGGGTGTTTCATGAAATAATCCTTAACCAAAACTTTAGGTTTTGAGGTGTTAGTATCAATTCCCCATACACCATGTTGCTGCCAAATACATTGATTATTGATCCATGCAGATTTGCACTCTTTGTTAAGAATTCTGGTAGTTTCTTTTCTAGTAGGAAATGGCCATGATCTAACCCATACTTCAATTTCCTGAGGCATACCAGCACCAAGAGCAAATGATTGCAAGGCGTTTGGTGAGTCACCAAACACAAGGTTGGAACCAGCATCATATTGAAGAAGATTTGAAAGACCAATATAACCAGGGCTTTATAATAAGTTTTTAATGTTATTTTTAGTATAACTTACTGTTATTAATTAAATAAACTGAAATATAATAAAAATACATACTGAGGCTCATTCATTAATTCAAATCCCATAACAGCATCCAAATGTTGAATGCGCCTGGGTAATATTAATCAAAGTTATTGATTATATATCAATTAATACTAATAAATAAATAATACTACTAAATATTACTAATAATAATAATTATCCGGCACCTTACTATGATCGTACCAACAGAATA